CCCACCAGCTGCTCCCCCAGCTCCAGCTGCTCCCCCTGCACCAGCTGCTCCCCCCCACCAGCTGCTTCTCTGGCACCAGCGCACCTGCACTGGGGCTGGGCTGGCAGGTGCTCAGCTCTGTGTCTGCACCAGGGGCCAGCAGGCCACACACTCCCTTTGTACCCAGCCAGGCCCACAGGCCCCCTGCACTGCCCCACGGTGCTGTAATGACAGCTCTATCGGGGCCTTGACGCCCGAGACGGGGAGCGGAGACACTGCACAACACGCTCACTAGGTGCAGCCGTGTGGACGCCCAGTACCCACCTCGGTTCCCTCGAATGGCGTACATCACTTGAACATCCACACAGAACTTGCCCATCCGCTCGACCACGCGGCCGGTCTGCAGGGCCAGCTCGTAAGTGGGAGCCAGGCAGAGACACTGTGGGGAGAGGTGGTGAGCGTCATGAGCGGAAGTCAGTAGCTTCAAACCCCGAGGACTGGAATTTGTGCAGGGGAGGCAGCGACGCGTGGCAGAGGCTCTGGCTGGAGGGTGTTTCAGACAGAGCACAGAGTACCGAGGCAGAGGGGCTGGAGGGTAGCAGCCTTCCAAACACACTGCTCTCTGAGGGTGGGTCAGCAACGCAGGCAACGGCCCCGTCTAGGGCCGCAGTGGGGCGGGAGCTGCCGACGCACCGTGGGTGTGCCCAGGTGCAGCGGAGCACGGTCCTGTCACCTGTGGCCACAACACTCCCTGCCTGGCCCAGGGGGCTCCCTCATCTGTTCCCCGCACGCACACCTGGCGTCCTGCCTGAAGAATGTGCCCAAACCTGTCACTGGTTACCCCGGCCCTGGAAAGAGCAGGTGCCGATGGCACAGACGCTGACATGACACCTGGGGACTCTGGACGCACAGGCACCTTGACAGGCAGCTGTGACAGCAAGCGCCTCTAGCTAAGAGTGACGGACAGACCCACACGCCTCCAGACGTGTGCCTGGCACAGCTCCCTCTGCAGGCCTGTGTGGTAAAACGGCGAACTCCAGTGGACACTGAACCCGTCTCCCAGGCCTGGCCCTGTCACCACACCTACAGTGTGTCAGAGCTCGCAGTGTCCCACAGTCTAAGGAGAAGGCCCAGCCATGTGGCCGTGTCCTGTAGGCCGGGACCAGAGGAGAGGTCCCTGTCTGATTCCTCGTCAACCTAAAGCCAGGCAAGACGGTGTGTGGCCATAATTGGTGTGGCGCAGGCGACACGGGCCTCAGCTGTCCAGCGGGTCAGCAAGTGCCGCTGGGGGACAGAGGCAGAGGCGGCCGGTGCTCCTCCTGAGCAGAAGCCAGATCGGGAGGGTGCGAGCCAGACTGCTCTGCCACCTGCCGATGGCACTCCTCGGGAACCTTCTCCCTCCAGGTCAGCGTCTCCCTCTGTTCACCAGGGGCCCGGCTGGCCCTCGGCCCTGTGGCTGGCCAGCTCTCACTGCCACAGGCTTCCTTCACGGCCAGCACAGCACCAACGCTCTACACTGTCACCCCGCGGGCGCGCTGCCATGCGTCGCATGCTCGCTCAGCGCCCTGGCTCTGTACCTGCGGGAACAAGTCCAGGGCGTTCACTCTGCTCAGCATCGCTAGCACGAAGGCAGCTGTTTTGCCTGTTCCGGACTGACTCTGGGCTATGAGGTTCTGGGGTCTGTGGGAGGAGACCGGCACTGACACGAGCCAAGTACATGCTGGGGCGCGGGCGAGGGAGGGGCTGAGGGTGGCCATGGGGACCCCCGCCGGGCGCTCACGGGTGGGCCAGCATCATGGGGAGGGCCATCTCCTGGATCTTGGACGGCCTGTTAAATCCCATCGCGTAGATCCCTTTCAGCAGCTCCTCCTTCCTGCCGGAAAAGGAGGAGGTCGACATCAGACCTGCAGCCCGCGGGCCAGACCTGCAGAACCGCTTGAAGGTGCACTCCCAGTGGGTGGTGCCCGGCTCCAACGTGATGCCTAGAAGTGCAGGGCCTTTAAACGCTTATGGAAAATGGAATTAGAGCACAAGCTTACTTTGGAGCAAAGCATCTCTGAAATTCATGCGTGGGGTTCTCAGGATAAGCAATTTCTCTGCATTTCTGGGAGGCTCGCCTCGTGGATCATTCGTACCTCAACCCCCAGATGTGTACGTCATGCCCGCCTGGAGGGACCCCTAACATAACAAGCTGACCTGGCTGCGCCTGAGGCCACAGCGGAAGCTAAACTTTCTGTTGGATGAAGCAGAAAAAGGAAAAAGCTTCATCTGGTAAAGAGTGTCCCAGAGGCTGGTCCTACAGCTTCGCGGTTAGGGAGCTGACCCGTCAGAATTCTGGTCCCAGTGGCCAAGGACGTGTGTGTGTCCCAGATCTCGGCGAGGGACGGGACTGCGCATGACCAGCCCCACTGGGGGACGCTCTCTTGCTCTGCCTCCTTTGAGCGTGACGTACCTTTGGGCAATTAAGAATTAAAAAATATTGGGAACCAGCAGTTAGCGTAACGGCTATGTCGCTGGACTCCCACGTAGTCGACCGCGGTTCACGTCCCGGACCCGGTGGCTTAAAACTCACACTGGGCACGTGTACGGGCGTGCCCAAGATCCCGAGAGGAGAATGGAGGAGAAGGGATTATGGCGTGACCATCCCCCCTGGGGGGTGATTTCTCGCTTTCTGTCTCTCTTTCTGTCTGGTGAGCGCACACGCCCTATAGCGAAAACCTCTCAAAAAAAAAAAAAAAAGGATTAAAAAAACTTGCCAAGAATTATTTTCCTGCATAAGCAGAAAACGTAATGATCTATCACAGTTGTCTCTCCATGGACAGCGCTGATGTCTTAAACAGCAGTTTCAGAGACAGACGTTTATTTAGGTGATTGTTGCGTCAATTCTGAAAGAGCAGGAAGACACGATACTGTACTGACTCCCCTCCGGAAGCACTTTCTAGTTTGATGCAGGGCGTGAAGGACGAAGCTGGCGTGAAAACTGACGACCCCGAACGCACAGGCACCCGGGCAGCCAAGTGCCCTAGCTAGGCGCGCTGGACAGGCCCACGTCTCCCGGCCTGGGCCTGGCACGCCTCCTCGAAGGGGTTTGTGCTGGTAAAATAGCAAACTCCAGTAGAAACGTCACTGAACTTGTCTAAATGCACACATGCCCGGAGAAACAGAGAGAAGGGAAAGTGAGAGGCAGCCCAGGGCGATGGCCACGTCACAACCCTCTTCCTCTGCCCTCCTCCCTGGGTTTGGACACGCACACACACGAGCCCAGTGGGACTCTCACGCTGCGGGGTCCAGGATGTGCATGGTGCAGTCGGCCCCGTGGACCCAGCGCCTTAATCACCATGCCAGATGGCCCCAAGGTCGTGTTCTTAAATGACCTGGAAGTCCGGGTGCAGGTGAAGCACCTGGGCGGGACCCACACTGCTCAAACATCTGCATGTGCTTTGTCAGGAAGGCCACTGCTAGGGGCTGGCAGCCATTTTAAATCCTGGCACTCTGAAAACGGCGGGATTTCACATTGTTACCCTTTATGTAAGCTGCACTAGCGATTTTCTCTTACTCTTTACATCTATATCTAAGTATATGTATGTGTATTTTAGTTTCGAACTCACTGGAGAGACAGAGAGAGAGAGAGAGAGAGAGAGAGAACCTCCCGGGGGAAGGCCGCCCGCAGTCCCTCCGTTTCCCGTCAGGACCCTGGGCATACACGCGTACATGCCCAATGTGTGTCTCGAGCTGCCGGGTCAAGGATCCTGCAGAGCTGGCAGGTGGGGTCTGGCTGCCTTCGTCACAATGCCACCTGGCTGGCTCTGAAATATAACTCTCCAACCTCAACAGATGAATCAAGCCCTAGGGTGAGTCTGTTTAGAGTGCTTATTTTTAAAAAACAATTATTCAGTTTTAATTATTACTTTTTAAAATTCCAGAGAGAGAGAGAAAATGCGAAACCAAGCCGCCAGGTCCAGGACTTGAGCCACAGTCAGCCATGTGAGAGTCCAGTGCCTTAACCACCATGCCCCCTGCTGGCTGGCTGGTTATTCATTTTCCTACACTTTGAAAAGAAGCAGGAAAGTCATGGTGTGACTCACCTGAAGAAGGGGGGAGGAGCTCGGGTTATCGCGGGTTATCGATGCCCTGACCCAGGATGTGGGTACCAGAGGCCCAGTGTGCTCCGCCCCGCACCACGAGATTCAGGGACAATGGCTCACTACTCAACATTCCTCACCCACCGGGGACCCAGGCACCCCGGGGTCCGCACTAGCTACCTGCTCGTTGCCACAAGCTATGACACCTCACTTGGACACAGATGACCTGAAGCAGGGGAGCGGGGGTGGGTGGGTGGGTGCCCTGGCTGTGCTTCCCCAATCCCCAAAGAGGAGGTGAGCAGAGGGTGCCCTGGCCTTGCTGCCCCCAGAGAGGAGGTGAGCAGACGGTGCCCTGGCCATGCCTCCCCACAGAGAGGAGGGGAGCAGTGGCTGCCCTGGTGGGGCTTCTCCCCCTGTAGTGAGGATGCTCACAGCCGCAGCTCCTCGAAGGTCCTCACGGAGTAGAGTGGTGAGCTGGGGTCCTTCTGCAGGACTTCCACCAGGTGGCTGGACTCCACTAGGGACTGGCGGATCAGCTTGTTCAGGAGGGAGTTCGCTGCCAAGTCCACTAGGAATGGCAGAACAAAAGGGACACTGCAGATCCGGAATGACACCCGGCAAGTTGCTCCCTCGGGCCCAGGTTCCCTGCATGCAACGGCATCCACTCACATCTGCTAAGACAAGGCTCTGGAGAGGACAGAGCACCGACAACCCAGTTCCTACGGCCTGCTGCTTCGCCAGCCTCTAACCCCCAGCGAGTTCACACCTGTCTGCCTAAGGCCCACTCCTCCCTGGCCAGCTGGCGACTACACAGACGGCACGGCGTGGGCCGACTCTCTGAAGGAGCACACCCCGCTCCCCGCCTGGTACCTCTCTGACAGTCACCATGCACAATGAAACGGACCGCTCCCTCCAACCGCGCCACTCACACTGAGACAGAACCCGGCAGGCAGTGCGGACGGGCTTGTCCCTACCTACATCCTCGTCGTCATCACCTTCGGTGTTAACAGAATCCCCTAAAAGGACGGGAGAGAGACAGTGACTCGGGAGGGCACCTGAGCAGGAAGGTCCTGTGTACCTTCCGGTTCCCTTTCCGCTGAGTAGGTACAGAAGAGGAGGAAATGACCGGACAGGAAGGAGTCACGAGAGAGAAGCCGTGCTGACTCGTGGGGCGCCCAGCCTGGCCTGTGTCCTAGCTGGCCGAGGTCGTCCCCCTGCAAACAGCACTCACCTATGCCCAGGACAGGAGGACACTT